ATAATGGCCTATTAATAGAACTTGCAAGAATATGCTATATATTGTGATTGGAATAACTTTTTTTTCCCCATTAATTAATTAGTTAGGAGTAGTTTTTTGTTAGCCTGATGATAGGAAAATACCTTTTTACATTGGCCAATAATGCATTGCAGTTCTAGACCCTCTCAATGCGCTAGCTAACAACCAAATGGTAGCACTAGCATTGAAAGTCCCACATATTTTGCCACTTTCAACATTTATCCCAATTCTACTTTAATTTCGTGTATTATAAATTATGTGTCTTAAATTACAAAGAAAAAATGTACAGATATATTTTTCAGCAAAAGGAAGAAATAAAAAAAAAAATACAAGAGGCGCTTACTCAAGCAGCGAATTTACGTTTTATTTTTAATATATATAGATACAAATATCTAATGTATTAGTTTTTCTTTGACGTATCATTTTCATTCCGATGCTAGTGAAGTTTCTTATATTAGAAACTAGAAAACACATTATATATATATATATATATATATATGTCATAGAAGCATGGATTAATGGACTTTATTCACTATTGTTTATTTATACCGATGTGTCAATACTTTGATTACATATACATTACTCTACTCGGTCAGAGAAACGCACGCTTGAAACTCTTTATCAACTTCCAATTTAGCCAAGTCTTCATCTTTCAAGCTGAGATAAGCCTCTATTCCATCACCATTTTTGGCGTCCATGAAAACAGTCACATTGTGGAAATTCAACGCAGCTGAGCCCACCCACGTGGGCTTTCCCCACCCGAAATCCGCTTCATAAACTGGAAACCTACACAAGCTTGTGAATGCGAATGTAATCACCTCTCCTTTGACGAATCCTTCGCTACGATCCTTCAGCAATTCCAAGTGTTCATTTCCCTCTTGTAGCTTCCTCACAAACTCCTTGTCAATCTTCCTTATTTCCTCTCTTACTTGTCTTACAAAACCATGACACAGATCTTCACCAGTTTTTAACGAAGGAACTGTAATGGCAACTCTAAAATAGTTTCCAAAGTGGTTTTCTCCAAGCGGTGGCTCAAACCTCGGACGTAGATTTACAGCATGAAGTACTATGTATGTCTTCTGATCATCGTGCCCTGATTGATCTCCATTTGTTGCAGCCACAAACCGACTCCATATGAAGGCCGACAAGGCCTCAACGCGCGAGGGCCGTCGCCGGTCTTCTCCGAGCGAGTTTTCGTCGTACTTCGCTCTCAGAGCCTCAATGGTAGCCGCCTTAAACACAAATCTCTTTGTCATGATGTTCTTCCTCGTGATGCCAATACTAGGGTTCAACCCTACCAAATTCTTTGGCGGGAAGAGCTTTCCGGAGATGAATTCTGGGCGGACTATGTCGGGTTCTCGGCGAGCGGTGGCCACCCAGGTTTTGATGAACGTGATGTTCGACAAAGCGTCCGAGAGTTGGTGCGAGTTGCACACGCCGATAGCGATTCCTCCGCACTCGAAGACGTTGATTTGGAGGCCGAGGGCTAATTCGGTGACGTCGTCGAGCTTAAACGGAAGGAACCTGTCGAGTTCGTTAATGTTTGGATTGTCGATCACATCGGAAAGTTTTCCTTTTACTCGCGCTTCGAAGAAAGGGACTCCCTCGTCATTACAATCGATGATATTTAGGCCATCTTTGACTCGTCCCGCTAGAGGGTAGTAAAGGGATAAGACTTGGGACAAGGATTTCTTGAGGTGGTAGGAAATATTGGTGATATTGTTAAACTCGCTATGATGAACATGATCATCATTATTTAATAAGTAGAAAAGAAGCCAAGGATTGTAGACTTTGGGTGAGAGTTGGTCAAGGAAAGAGAGCTGGTAATGGCGAAGATGGTCAGGTGTTGGAGACGATGGTTTAATGAATTCTTTGGAGATTAACTCGATTTCGACCTCCATAAGTAACACAAGACCTAATTCACATAAATTAACCTAAGGGAAAGGATATTGTATATAGCTAAGGGAAAGTGTTGTTGTTTGTTTGTTTGTTTTTTTTTTTTTTTTTGAGAAAAGTGTTTGGTTGTGTACTGTGTATGTTTTGAATTTCATTTTCCAGAGGCGAGGCTCATACTTATAGAGCGCCAAACAACAAGTAGATCAGGGTGTTGATCAATCGAGGGAAAAAAAAATATAAAAAACATAAAAGTATTGTTATTTTGCACTGGACGGAACGAGACTACGTCATTTAAACATTTTAAAACACTTTTTGAATATTAAGACTTGGACAAATGATTTGCCTCCCGCTACAAGCTGATACCATTTGATATCTTAAAAATGATAATTAATTAAGGCTAACATTTTTTCATGTAATATTATCCACTTGCACCGCTATTTTTTTCCCAAAAAAAAAAAAAAGGATTTTGTAAAATTATATTTCGAATTTTCCGTAGGAAATAAACAGTGAAATAAGATATCAGTCGGAAAATATTTTAAGTAGATTATGATCATGTCCTTATCGTCGTGGTCATTAGTATTGTTATTATATTGTTCTTTTGGCCGTATTCTTCATTAATTTATTGCAGTTATTTATAAGGTCACCTGTAGTAGGTTTTGAAATGTTAGGATTTTCTTTTCCTTGGGTGCAAGAAAACTAAAACAAATTATTTGGAGGAAGCCTTTTTTGGGTTAGCTTAATTATTTGCCTTCATTGTCGATGATATGAGTGAGATTTTTAATAGAGGTCTCTGGATTTCTTGTCGGCTTCAATGTGTGTGTATATGGATATACATGAGACATAATTCACCTGTTCGGATATGAATTCTCTACGACATTTCCTAACCCTAAATCAGGCATTGTCGGTAATGTTGGACAGGTGTTTTCTTGCACAATATAGCGCTTTGAAGTGTAGAAAAAACAAACCTTTTCCATTCATTAATTAATAATTAACAAAGGGAAAATTAAATATCTCAATTTTTTAGAATATTTAAATCTCTTAATTGATTAACTAATAACTGATTAATATGGTTGGCAGCAAACTAATTCCTTGTCTTATAATATTTTGTTGCTCAATTTATAGAGAATACTAATCATACTTCCTACGAATTTTCACATGATCACAATCACTTTCTTGTATGGCCCAACGTTCTTTTGACTTATGTTTCATTGGATTTTCTCTATTGTTGTCGTTTTTATTGCATCTCTTCTTGTTGTCGTTTTTTTGCCGTTGTGTTTTATATTTGTCGTTGTCTTCGTTAGTTTAGTTATTTATTAGCTTGTCGTCGTTTTCCTGGTTATTGTCATTTTTCTTTGTTTGTTTTTTATTTATTTATTTTTTTGTCTTTCTTATGTTTACTGTAGTTTTGATTGTGTTGTCGTTTCTACTATTTCTTATAATTTTGTGGTCTTAACTCTTAACTGGCTATTTACCTTTTTTTGTTTTTGTTTTCCCCTTGTAATCATTATGCAGGTTTCTAGTCTGTCGTTTTCTCTCAATTTTGTTCTTGACATGTCATTTTCGGTTTCTGTATGGCTCGATCTACAGTATATATTTGCTTTCTCTTCCTTTTAACCCTTTCACCCCTGGCGAGTGGGAGTCATCTCCTAACACCAACGCCTTTGATATGTTAGTTTAATTTCTTGTATCCTCAACCTAAAGACTGAAATAATGCATGGTTTAATAACAACTGAGGCTCATATATCGCAAATCCAAAATGTATTAAACCAAATAGATCAAGCACACATATGCATTACACCAAATAGAAAAATGTGAGCTTCTTAAGACCATATAATTTCCACTACGCAAAACCACAACACAGCCAGGTCATGAACGCAGGACAACTTTGACTTGCAACTTTTGTGCTTCTCAGTTAGTTTATCAATTCATCCCAAAAGCTTAAGCTATTAGGAGGTGGGCCAACAATAGTTTTATATTTTAACACTTCCGTTCACGTGTGGGCTAGACAATGGGCAATCGTGTGAGTAAATTAATTAGAAAGCTCAACACGTGAATATTTAAGTCCGAGATATATTAAAGACCCAATACATGATGACAATTTAAATGAGAATAAAGAGTGCAATTACGGGGATTTGAACTCAGAATCTTCCGCTCTGATACCATGTTAGTTTACCAATCAATCCCAAAAGGTTAAGCTATTAGGAGGTGGGCCAACAATTGTTTTATACTTTAACACTCTCAAACAACGACGTACTTAGCACTGAATTCTTCCCCTCGAGTGTCTGTGAAGCAAAAGCGAATCCATGAAGTTCTTTTGGGCGAAGACATTCTTCCCGAGTAAGATAATCACGGAATTGCTTAGGGAAGAAGAAGTCTATAGGCAAGAAGATTTGGAGATGCAAGTTTTAGTCAATTAAAGAAACCTGATAATGGCTGTGGGGTTGGAGAAGAGGGTTTTATTATGGCCTCCGAGGAGATCACTTCGATTTCAAGTGAAGGATTTCATTGACACCGAATTATTGTTATAAGAAATTGGAATTAAAAGAAAGATAAGAATCTAACACCAATTCCAAACACCCGAGGCCTCTTTCACGTGGCTCACCTTCAGACTCCTCATCTTACTAAATCTTTTGCTTGCTTTCGATCTAAAAGTTAGGCAATTTTAATTCTAAAGATGCTCATAAGAATTAAAACATGTTAGGCAACTGTTTCACTTTTTGTCTTTATATATGTAATATAGTACGGGAAATAAAATCAATCCGTATTTCATTTTTTTTCAGTACACGCTTAAGTTCATTTTTAGATTGCGGATACATATGTATCCTTACTATACTGAAACGACTGCCATTATTAATATCAAACTAATAGCAAACAGTTGCATATATTGCAACTGTTAGGCAAACATTGTGGTATCCCCAATGTCAAACAGTTAGGCAACTGCTAGTCTGAGATAATAGTCAGATGCTCATAAGAAAATGGTGGACTTGCTGAATCAAGCTTCTGAAGATGGATGTATTGATCCCATCCATTATGATATGAATGATTTACTAAAGGACCTTGGTGGTACTCGTGTGTTGTTCTGCCCGCGTACTTGAAATAGTTATGGCTCATAAATTGGCTTATTTGGCTTTGTCCTCATCTATGGATTATATTTGGTCCACTGTGAAAGAATATTGAGTAATTTGGAAACAATCTGTATATTGAAGATTGACATCTTACAAAGGAGAAAGCACATATCTATATAGTACATCAGCTAGCCTATTCTAGGAAACTATAACTAATGAATCAATTACAATCAATCAAAAGTTAAAGACGTGTATATAACCCTATTATTCGCAGATCTCATATTCTTTCCTGTAATACTCCCCCTCAAGTTGGAGCGTGTATGTTAAGGACGCCAAACTTGCTGAGAAGAGAATGAAAAATTGATGAATTGAGGAGCTTGGTGAACAAGTCGGCAAGCTGGCAAGCTAATGGACCATGGGCAGTCAATATGGCACCTGACTGAATTTGTTCCCGAACAACATGGCAATCGATCTCTATGTGCTTGGTACGTTCGTGATAAACCGGATTTGCAGCAATGTGGAGTGTTGCTTCACTGTCGCAAAATAATTTGACTAGTTGTGAGTGCTTCACCCGCAAGTCATCCAACAAGTATTTGAGCCATCTTATCTCACACGTAATCGAGGCCATAGCTCTATATTCTGACTCGGCTGAAGATCTTGATATCATCATTTGTTTCTTGGTCTTCCATGAAATAATCGCTCCTCTGAGGAAGATACAATAACTAGTAACAGACCGTCTTGTGATTGAACATCGAGCCCAATCTGCGTCACAAAATTCCTTTAGTAGCTAGTTTCCTTTGGCTGAAAAGTACAATCCTTGTCCAGGTGCACCATTAAGGTATCTCAAAAGGTGATGAACAACATCTAAATGGAGTTTTCTTGGCTCTTGCATAAACTAGCTTATCTCAAAAGCCTGCTTCATCTAAAATGTCAAGTGTGTACTTCGTTGTGATATGGAAATGCCACTAGTAGAACGAGCAACTTCAACACCGAGAAAATATCGCAATTGGCCAAGGTCCTTGATGCGAAATTTGGTATGGAGAAATTTCTTAAGAGCAACAATTGCACCATCATCGTTGCCAGTTATGATCATGTCATCTACATAGATGAGCACAGCTGTGAAAGAATTGCCAAAGATCTTGGTGAAAAGTGAATAGTCTGCCTTGGATTGATGAAAGCCATCTTGCTGAGTAGCAGTAGAAAATTTTTGAAACCAACTACGAGAGGCTTGTTTAAGTCCGTATAAAGACTTGTTGAGTCGACACACAAGAGAATTATCCCCCTGTCGATGAAGACCGGGTGGCATTTGCATATAGACTTCTTCGAGCAAATCTCCATGAAGGAAAGCATTTTGAACGTCCATTTGGTGAAGGGACCAATTTCGAACAGCAGCTACAGTGAGTAAACAACGAACTATAGTTAACTTGGCCACAAGAGCAAATGTTTCTTTATAATCAATCTCTTCGCGTTGAGTGAAGCCTTTTGCCACCAACCGTGCTTTGTATCTTTCAACTGTGCCATCGGAGTTATACTTAATCTTATACACCCATTTGCAACCGATTGGACGATGTCCATATGGGAAGGGTGTAATTGTCCAAGTCTGATTTTGTTCAAGAGCTTGTAGTTCTACAGCCATGGCTTTTTGCCATTTTGGATCCAACGCTGCCTATTCATAAGTCATAGGTTCCACAAGAGTAGTGACAGTGCAAACAAAATTCTGATATTTGGGTGAGAGTTGTGCGTAAGAAATGTACCGATGTAACGGATAACGCGTGCCTGTCGAGGAAGAAGATTGACTGGAAGCAACCTTGGTCGTGTGATAAAGGTGAAAATCTCAGAGTTTGATGCTCGGTTGTTTGACACATTCAGAACAACGAGCAATAGGAGGCGGAGATGGAACATCAGTGTCATGATTAACTGTATGCTCGTTTGAAGCAGACACAAGTGATGGAGATGAAGATGGACTGTCAATAAGTGGTTTTGTTGTGTCTATGGTAATTAAGTCATCTGAAGTGTGTGGTAAAGGAAGGACAACCTCATCTTCTTGTTCTTCTTGTGGATTAGTATGAAACGGAAAGATATGCTTGTGAAACACAACATCTCGAGATGTGAAGAATTTATTAGATATAAGATCATAAACTTGATAACCTTTTTGACCAAGAGGATAATCAATAAATATGCATCAAAGAGCTCTTTGATTGAATTTATGTGTGGGTAGGAGGTTCGTAGCATAAAAAAGGCATCCAAAAGTGCGAAGATGATTATATGTAGGTAACTTGTCGTGGAAACAATCTGTATATTGAAGATTGACATCTTACAAAGGAGAAAGCACATCAGCTAGCCTATTCTAAGAAACTATAACTAATGAATCAATTACAATCAATCATAAGTCAAAGACATATATAACCCTATTATTTACAGATCTCATATTCTTTTCCGTAATACACTGAGATTCCTTTGTCTATCTGATCAAGTTTGTAATGACGTCATTGCTTGTATTTAATGAAACTCAGTTTCACTTTCAAAAAGAAAATGGCAACATAAAATTCCTAACACCAAGAAATTGAAAAATATAAAACAAAAAAACAAAAAAAAAAAACAAAAGCAAAACATAGATGAGCCCAAAAAAAGGCCTATAGATATCACAACGGCATATTCGAGAAATATTTCTCTTGCCGCTATCGGGCCATCTACAATTGTTCACAGAAAACATCTTATAAAATGAATGCACTATATTAAAAAAAAAAAAATCTAGAGTGTGTATATATATATATATATATATTTACAAAGTTGGAGCGAGGTTTGCTCCAAACTGATAGGATATTTTTATTCACACTTGGGTTGTGGAAGCCCCTTATTATTATCACATTACAATCACAACCAGCAAAAAAAAAAAAAAAAAAGGCAAGCCACAAAAAGATAATCACACCAAACTAAACAAATAAATTAATAGAAACACACACGGGGTTTTATGGACATTTTTTGTTTTAGTCTTCAGAGTCACGCTCCATTGAGAAAAGGAATGTTGGTTATCTCGTGATCAAGGGCAGCAACATCATTTGGAGACACAAAGGCAAGAAGCTCTTTGTCAGCTTCAAGTTTGGCCATATCATCTGCATTCAAGCAAATATAAGCCTCTATTCCATCGCCAGCTTTGTTGTCCAAGAGAGCAACTAAATTAATCACACCTCTATTAGCCGAACTCACCCATATGGGCTTACCATATCCAAAGTCGGCTTCATATAGAGGAAATCTGCACAAACTTGAGATGTATAGCCCAGCCACTTCTCCTTTTACGAGTCTTACCGAAACTTTCTTCGCATTCTCCACCAACTCATCTCCCTTTTCTTGAATATTGTTTTTCACAAATTCCTTATTAATCCTTCTCATCTCTTCTCCTATCTTCCTCGCCAGGCCATAACAGTACTCGTCACCGGTACAAATACTATCAATGCTTCCGATTATTGCGGAAGTAGTGTAATAGTTTCCGAAAGAATGCTCTCCCAATGGCGGATCACATCTTGCACGAATGTTCACCGGGTGAAGAATGACGTAGTTTTTTCCAGCTTCGGGCTCAAGTGACTTTGTTGCAGCCATGTAACGGTTCCACAGGAAAGTGGACACGACCGCAATGCGTGAAAGGCGCCGATTTCGGACGTTTTGATTGTTTATTATTCCTTCCTCACTTTTTCTTTCCCCGTACTTTGCCCTAAGAGCCTCAATCTTACGAGCATCGAACACGAACCTCTTTGTTATGTTTGTAGTGCACATATTCTTTTTGATGGAGAATGAAGGATCATACCCGCGCATATTCCTCGTCGGGAAAAGATCTCCTGAGATAAATTCAGGTTGCATGACAACGTCATTCTCTCCGCGAGCAATGGCCACCCAACTTCGGACGAACATTAGAGATGACAAAGCGTCCTCAAGCCTGTGGGAAAAGCAAAGGCCAACGGCGATTCCTCCACATTCGAAGACGTTGAGTTGGACGCCGAGGGGAAATTCAGCTATTTCGTCGAGTTCGAATGGAAGAAGCTTGTTGAGTTCACATGGGACTGGATTCTCGAGAACGCTGGAAAGTTTGGTCTTCACTCGAGCTTCAAAGTAGTGAACTCCATCGTCATTGCAGTCGAGGAAATGGTCGTCTATAAATCGTCCAGCGAGTGGATAGCAAAGGGTCAAGGCTTGGGACAAAGATTTCTTAAGCTTGTTTGATATCTCCGAAATATAATTGGGCTCATGATTGACATCTAACGCATAGTAGTAAATGAAAGGACTATAGGCTTTGGGCGAAAGTTGATCAAGGAAAGACAGCTTGTAACGGCGCAGATTTTCCGGAGTTTGAAAAGAGGGTTTGATGATCTCGTTGGAGATTGCTTCAACCTCCATTTGTCTCATGCTTAACTTTAAGCTGAGAGGTAAAAGTGAAGTAACTGGTTGTTGTTGGTGGTGGTATTTATATAAGTACGTGGTTCTTATCTTGAGACTCCGTGTACGTTATTGCGATAAAGTTTGTGCGAAAAAGGTCAAGAAGGAAATAAACGAAAGGAAACAAAGTTGTGGTGTTCTACGTCCCCAGATTGATATCTAGTGCGATTTGGTCGTGGCATGAAATGATAGCCCGTCTAAATTCCTTACCTACTTTGACTCATCCCTCATCTTCGTAGTATTACACAAGTTACTTAGCGATAAGAAGGAGCGCGGGTTCGATGAACTAATCATATATATATATATATATATATATATAAGCCCAACCTAATTGACGTAAATTAACCTAGCTAGCTATAAGGGAAAGACGTGTATTTGCAGAGATTTAGTGCATCCCTCCTGATTGTTTGGTGTGTGTATGTTTTGTGCTTCACGATTTTCCAAATGCGAGGGTAATAATTACATGTAGACAGGTCTTAATCGAGGGAGAGAAAAAATAAAACATAATAACTGTTTATTTGCACTAGAAGCTAATGCCAGTTGACATTTTTGAAATAGTTTTTACTAACGTGATTTTTTCATGTTTAGGTGCAACAATGAGCAAATGTATGGGTGAATATTAATAAGAGAGCTCAATATAATAAGATATTTAAAATATATTGAAGCCATAACTCGTGATAACACTTTTCAAAGAAATAAAATGTGTAAAAAATTTGAACTCCTCTGCTATTTTAATACCGTGTTAATTTACTAGTTCTTTTAAAAAGTTTCAGCTATTAGGAAATGATTAAACAATCATAATTTTTATGTTCTTACACAATTAATATTATTCACTTGCACCGCCTTTTTTTTTTTGAAAAAAAAAGGATTAATCAATTAGAATTTTGCATTTTTGACAGTTGGAAAATTTGAAGTAGATATATATTAATATGATTATACCCTTATCATCGTCGTCATAATTATTATTGTTATTGTTGTTGCTATTGTATTATTATTATTATTAGGGTGGATCTATTTCACTGAATTCCACTTTTTCATCCCATTCCACTTTTCTCACCCTCTTTTTTGAGCTATCCATCAATTAATTTTAAATGTATAGTTTATTACTTGTTATACCCCTTTCAAAATTCCAAAAAGAAAAAATCTTATAACTAAATTATTTTTTTTTTTCACCCACTAACTAGCCAAACCTACTTGAAAAAAAAAAAAAAAAAAAACAAACAAACAGATGTTTTCCTTTTGCAACTATATTTGTGCTCTCGTCAATAATTTATGTCTTTTATTTTTTTGCTAGAAATAATTTAAGTGCTTTAGTAAATTCACTAATATAATCATATATGTATTGGTAAAGAATGTTGTCAGCCTCAATAGATATTGCATTCTAAGTTGAAAACAATGGTTAAAAAAAAAAAAAGTAGTTACTAAACTCATAAAACAACAAATGGTGAATATGAGGTCTTACGCGCGCGAGAGATAGAGAAAGAGAGATAGAATCGTGAAAGAAAAAAAAGATAAAAAAAATAATAAAAAAAAGGCAATGCAAATTGTAATAGGAATCGCTTATATCCTCATTAGTATATCAACAACGGAAGGCAATTTAATTCATAAAAAAAAAGGGAAGGCAATTTTAATATAAACAACAAGAAATGAAATAGAAAAACAAAAATCTTTGAAGAAACAAGAAATGCGTACGTTTTTGTGGGGATCATGTTCCTTCCCTTCCACATCTTGGAAACTATTTCTTCCCTTCTCTAAAAGAAAGTAGGGCACAATAAGTTTTGGAATGGAATATTCTTTTCTTTCTTTTGATGTGGGATGTCTGATGAGTAATTTTTTTTTTTTTTTTTAAATCGTTTTGTCGGTAAAATTGATGGATAATTCAGCAATAAAAAGTTTATTAAAAAGAGTGTGTGAGAAGTAATTAAATTGAGGGTGCCAATAGACCCACCATGATTACTATTGACTATAATGCTCTCTCTTTCTTGCGGTTAATTACTTTTAATGCCACAATCAGTAGTAGTTTATAAATTTTAACTTTTAAGATTTTCTTTTCCTAAGGTGCCAGAAAATTAAAACAAAGGAGTAAGCTAATTTCTGGTTTAGCTTAATTAATTGCCTTAGTGGTGGATGACCTGAGTGAGGTTTTAATAGGGATCTGGAATATTATGCTGCTTCTCGGCTTCAAATTAATATACATACATGATAATATAATTCGAATATTCGGATATAAATTTTCTACGATCTTTTCTTACTGATCAGGAATTATCGGTAAAGATTTTCGCTTTCACGTCAAGTGTTTTAATGGGACAGGTGTTTAATTTCTTGCAGAAGCCGGAAGAGAGCTTGGAAGTGTAGAAAAAACCAACCTTTTCCAATATATATAACAAGTAAAAAAAAAAACAACAAAGAGAAAATGAAATCTCTTAATTTGATTAATTAATTAACGGTAGGTAGTTCAAAACTAATACTTGAGTGCTATATATGTATATTATCATTTTGCTCAAAATATAAAGAAATGTAATCGTATTAGTCGCTGTGAATTTCTTATGATCATTATTTCAACTACGCACCGGATGGATTGAAATATTAGATGAATAGTAGAGAAGGTATTACACGGGATCCAACATAAATATGCCAAGGCCACCAAGACTTAACGGATTTGATTTCTTTGATTTATATCAAACCTTTTTTTTGTTTTTTTGTTTTTTTGTTTTTTTTTTCAAGTATATCGAAGCCGATCGATCATTACGACTTTAGTATAAATAGCATGGTCTATCTAGTATTAATTCTTAATTAATTTACAAAAATAACCATCAATTAGCTATATTTTTTAAAGCATTTATAATTCTATATATACATAGCTGAATACTGAAAAGAGGTGTTGAAAAATCGTATCAGGCCATTTACCACACACTTGGATATAATATCATATAAATCATTGCAAATTGATAACCCATCAAATCAATTAATAAACCAAATTAGTAATATACAAAACTTATAAAACAATTAGAAGTGCAAGAGCAAGAGGATGCTTATGGACTTTTCATCCTTCATGACAGTCAGCAAAATTGACTTTTTTTTTTTTTTTTTTTTTTTTTTTTGGTAAATAGCAAAATTGACTTGATTGAGAAATGGAAGATAGGAAGAGATCTTTAATTATTTGGCATATAAGTAAGGGAGCCTCTACGGAGATCTTTATTTGAGAAAGCCAATGAATAAACCTCGAAATGCAATGGAAATTGGACCTAACATTATGATGGTACCTGCCACCAGATATCTTTTTCAAATCAGAGTACAATAAGATAAATAAAAGCGAGAAATTACTCTTTTGAACTTCTAACTTGGCCATATCATTAAGCAAATGTAAGCCCCCAGTACTCCGCCGACATTTTTGTTGTCCTGGAAATGAACCCCCATCCAAAGTTAGCTAATTCATAGAGAAAAAACCTGTAAAAACTTGGTTTTTCCCAATGTATGGTGGTCTTATTTTAACTGAAAAGATTGTTAACTATCTCCACTTATCACCCTCTTTTAGGGCCTAACAATACCCTCACTGGTTACATTTTGAGCTTAGTTATATATAGCTTTTACACCATTTGTAGCTTTACACCAGTTATATATATATATATATGTGTGTGTGTGTGTGTGTGTGTATACACATATATATATATATATATATATATATATATATGCAGGGTTTGTAGTTTTAGTATCTGTGTTCGTATTTATGTTTTAGGATAAAGTTTTCCCCTTCGAACTTTAATCATTTGGTCATATTTCTCCCTAAACTTTAAAAGCTGGTATATTCACCTATAAATTTTAAAACGTTAGCAAAAACACTCTTTTGTAGTTTTAGTATCTGTGTTCGTATTTATGTTTTAGGATAAAGTTTTCCCCTTCGAACTTTAATCATTTGGTCATATTTCTCCCTAAACTTTAAAAGCTGGTATATTCACCTATAAATTTTAAAACGTTAGCAAAAACACTCTTTAAACTCTTTCAATTATACTCCGTCTATTTTAAGTTGACGTGTCACCAATTTAAAAAATAAACAGAATATTTTAAATTAAAAATTTATCATTAATGATAAAAAATTGAATTATCCTTCATATTAAAGAAGAAAATATTCTTTAAATGATAAAAACATTTCATATGGAAAGAAAAATCGACCTCTTCCCCTTCCGGCAACGTTGGCACTGGGTTTGAAATTCCGATCGAGACCGGTCGAACACCGCCATGGAATCTGAACCTCATGGTGAGATATTTGTTGTGGCAACTCTGAGCTTCACCACATCACTTTCATGGAAATTTGAAGCTAAAAAAGGTAATTGCTGGAAGCGTTTTTGATTCTCAATTTTCTAGGGATTTGTTTAAAGTATCATCAAATCGGTAAAAGCTCTTCTTTGTCCTCTGATCCAATTAATTCAAAAACCCAACTTTCATACTACCATTTTCACTTTCCCATTGTTATATACCCATTGAAGCATACTGGGTATGGGTCTCCTTCTCACCTTCCCTTCGTTATCAACCCATTGAAGCGTACTGGGTCTGGGTTTATGGTTTTAGAATTTGGCCATAGTTCTGATTATGATTTAATTAACAAATATAAGAGGAATAATGATTCTTCGTATTTCTTTGGGAAATATAGATTATATCGTATAATTAACCAATCCGAACAACTAGAGAACTTTGTTGTGGTATTCGAAAGAATTACAACAAATTAGCTTGGTTGTTGACTGTGGCCGAGAAAAGATGTATATGCCAGGTACATGGGGCGAAGCTTATGGCCATTTGCCACATGCAGTGTTATAAAGCGATGCCAAATTCAGAATTTGTATAGAAAGAAAAAAGTGTCTAGACAAAAAAGAAAAAAAACAAAAACAAAAACAAAAACATAGATGAAGGCAAAAATGGAAAAAAAAAAAAAAAAAGTCCATAGATATTACTGCATAATCTTCAGATAATTTTCCTTTTTCC